TCTTAGATTTTTTTTCTTCAATAATTGTAGAAAAAGGATTTTTATGGTATGAGAAAAATAAATGTAAATGAATAAATAAATAAATGCAGTATTTCTTCAAGTTTTAAGAAAAACTTCATTGTTCTGTTTCAGTCCTTAATTATATTTCCCAACATTATTGTCACTATTAACTTGTTAGTTATTTAGCTAGTTGCTACAATATGTAGAACACTAGTCTACTATGCCTAGATGAATTTGGGGAAAAAAAAAAATTGACATTAATAAAAAGCTGCATTGATTGATGGACTATAGAAAAGTATTTCATTTTGCACAACATTGATTAATCTGAGCTTGAAAACGAGTAAATGAAAATGATGGAAATACATCACTACCAACATGAAGGACACTGATTGAGTTTTTGATAGTTTAATGTAGGCATGTAAACGGGCTGTGCTCGTTAAGCAAACGAGCCGGAAATCAAGCTCGAACTTGGCTCTTTATTATATATATATATATTAACGAGTCGAGTTTGAATTGATCTCGAGCTTTAACGAGCCGAATTATAAAAAAATATATAAAATTCAAATTTTGAGCTTTAATGAGCCTTATTGAGCCGAGCTGAGCCCGACTGAGCCTTAATGAGCCGAGCCGAGCTCAGGAGCACCTCGTTTCGTTTAACAACTCTATTAAAGGTACGAAAATCTTCTTTTGTTGTTCTTTTCCAGAGCCATGGACAATGGCACACGCGAAAAGTTGCTTGTCCCGAAGGAAAACGAGTCGACCGATTTGAAAGGAAGGATTTACGACGAGTCGAATAAAATATGGAGGGTGGCATTACCCGGGATAATAGCAAGAGTGGCATCGTTCGGGACTATAATTCTTACCCAATCATTTATCGGCCATTTAAGCTCGGTTGATCTCGCCGGTTATGCCCTCGTTCAAACACTCACTGTCCGTTTCGTCAACGGCGTTTTGGTACATTCTTCTTCTTCTTTTTTATGTTAACATTTTTGTCGAAATTTTAACATTTTTTAACGAAATTTTCGAAAACCCGACTGCAGATAGGCATGTCGAGCGCAACCGAAACTTTGTGCGGGCAAGCCTACGGAGCCCGGCAATACCACATGATGGGAATCTACTTGCAACGCTCGTGGGTAGTCGATTTCTTAACACTAACGCTATTGCTCCCTCTCTTCATATTCGGTGCCCCGATTTTCAAGATGATGGGCCAAGAATCGGACATTGCCGAATCCGCGGGCTACATTTCGTGGTGGTTTATTCCGATGGTTTACAATTTCGTGTTCACGCTCACGATGCAAATGTTTCTTCAGGCCCAGCAGAAGAATAGTGTCGTTGCATGGATATCGATTGGGCAGCTCGCGGTGCACGTGCCCGTTTCATGGCTGTTTGTGTACCGACTTGGGTGGGGAACGGACGGGGCCATGGGGGCGCTCTGCGTGTCGAACTGGCTCGTGGCGTTTGCCGAGCTGTGGTACATCATGGGGGGCGGGTGCCCCGAGACGTGGAGCGGGTTCAACTCGGCCGCGTTCAGGGACCTTCTGCCCGTGATCAAGCTCTCGATTTCGTCCGGGATTATGGTTTGGTAAAATTTGCGTGGCCTTTATCCTTGGTATTTTATTTATTTATTTAATTTGAAAAAAAAAAAGCTTTTTCTAGTTCCTGTTTGTTTAACGCGCCATAACAATTTTAGTCTCAAGATTCTAACGTTTCTCATTTTGGTATTGTG